CTAATAAGCTGGATGTGGTGATGCATGCCTGTCATCCCATCTACTCAGGAGGCGTAAGTACAAGGATCATGGTCCAAACTGCCCAAGGGAAAACACAAGACCCTATTCAAAAAAATAACTTAAAGCAAAAAGGGCTGGTGGAGTGGTTCAAGGTAGAGCGTCTGAGTTCAAACACCAGTACCACCAAAAAAAAAAAATGGGGGGGCCTTAACCTTGAGCCACTCCACCAGCCCAATTTTTTGTGATAGGTTTTTTCGAGATAGGGTCCCACAAACTATTTGCCCGGGCTGGCTTCGAACTGCAGTCCTCCTGAGTAGCAAGAATTACAGGTGTGAGCCACCGGCACCCAGCCAAAAAAAAGTTTTTTAATGAATTTAGTGTATCCCAAGCGTCCAGTGTTTGTGTCTGCAGCAGGGCACAGCAGTAATGTCCGAGGCCTTCACACTCACCCAGAGCAACCTCAGTCCTGCCACCTCAAGTCCTGGTGAGCGTCCTCCATGGCAGCACGAGTGCTTATCTTTTATACTCGATTTTCACTTTCCTATGTTTCACGTTTAGATCCACAGATACCTGCCATTGTGGGACAGTTGCCTGCAGCATCCAGCCCAGTGACACTCTGCATGAGTCTGCAGCCTAGAAGCCACAGGCTAGCCCATCCAGCCTCGGTGTGTAGGATGCCAGGCCATCTAGACTTATGTAAGCACACTGTGTGCTGCTCACAGAACCACAAGCTTGCCCAGTGACACAATTCTCATAGCCTGTCCCCAGTGTTAACTGACACGTGACTGTGTAGTCCTGTGACAGGCCAGGCATAATTTAAAACGTAATTATCAAAATAACTGCACGAGTTAAATAGTGCGTGGCATCCATTTTACAGAGGAGGAATGTGAGGCTCAGAGAGATGGTGTCCCTTGTTGAAGGTCACCCAGCAACTAAGTGTAAAGTTTGACCAATTTGACTCCCACACCTGTGCACTTGGCCTCTGGCATGTGCCCGGTGGGCCCACGGCGCCAGGGGTGGAGTTGGGACCAGCAAATGTCCACTAAATGCACACATGTCCCTGCCCAGGTCCTAGGAGTCCTCCCAGCACTAGGATCCCAAGACCTGTGGATTCTTAGAGGACTCTGGAGTGCAGTGTTGAGCAAGTCAAGAGTTCGAGACTGGCCTCAATCCCTCTTCTAGCTCAACCCCTAAAGATGCTAATAAGAAGTGTCTTGAACCAGGCATGGGAAATGAAGACGCCACAAAAGAAACACACTGGCCTGGACAGCATAAGGAGTTCAGGCTAGCTAAGCACTTAGGGCTCACACCTATAATCCTAGCTAGCCGGGAGGCTGAGATCACAGTTCAAGGCTAGCCTGGGCAAGTAGTTCAAGAGACCCTATCTAAAAAACAACCAATGGGCTGGCGGGGTGGCTCAAGTAGTATAGCGCCTGCCTAGCAAACGTGAGGCCCTGAGTTCAAACCCCAGTGCCACTAAAATAAAAACTTTTAAATAACCAAAACAAAATGAACTTCAGGTGTGGCTCAAGTGATAAAGCACCTGCTTTGTAAGTGTGAAGCCTGAGTTCAAACCCCAGTACCACCAAAAAAAGCTAAAAGGAGTTAAGGCTAGACTACCATGAACATCAGGGCTAGCCTTATGTTCCAATCTGACTGATAGTTTCCCATCACTGTGACAAAATACCTAAGATAATCAACTTATAAGGCGTGGAGATTATTTTGGCTTGCAGTGTCTGAGGTTTCAGTCCTGGTCAGTTCACCCTGTTGCTTTGGGCCTGTGGTGGTTCAGTACCCATGGTGAGAGCTCTACCCACCTCATGGCAGCAGGAAAGCAAAGACAGAAAGAGGAAGAGGCTAGGGACACAATGTCCCCTCTAAGGTCACACCTCCTGGGACCTAACTTCCTCCCACTAGGCCCTGCCTCCTAGAGTTCCACCACCTCCCCAAAGGGCCAGCCCTTTAGCATGTGGGCATTTGGGTGACATTTAAGCTCCAAACAATAACTGAACTGGCCTTCCCTCCCCTTCCTCCACCCTCACTTTGGTCCAGAACGTGGGAGATGCCAGGAGTACTACATCAGACGGGAGTGTGGCTACAGCAGACACAGTCAGACCAGAACACAGGGAGGCAGACTCTGTATTTCCCTCAGCCCCAGCCACCATCAGAAAAGGGCCTGGTAACATTTCAGCCCTTATCATCATCCCGCTGAGGCTCCTGAGATGGGAAGAGGAGAGAAAAAGAATAAAAATAACAGTAACCATTCCCCATAAAAATAATATCATTTATGTAGGGCTTACTGATCTAGTACATTCCATGGGTTACAATGCTTATCATAGTCTTCTTGCTATTTTTTCAAATGCACACTCATACCACAGGACCTTTGCACTTGCTTCTCCCTCTGCCTGCAATACTATCCACATGTTCCAATCCCTCACTGCTTTCAAGAGTTCAAATGTTACCTTCCCAAATCTTCCCTGGACACTCCATTTAGAGTGGCCAAACAAAACAGAGAAAGAAAACACCTCCCAGCACCCCCGGCTCCTTCCTCCTACACTTTCTCCCAGGCCTCATCATCACCTTGTAAAATGCCTCCTATTCACCCAGGTTCCTTGTCCGTTTCCCCCACCAGAAGCTCAGATGCACTAAAGCAGAGGCAGGTGTCTGTTTGGTTCACTACTGTATCGATGGCTCAAAACTGACCAATGAGAGTGCTACATTATCTTGGGCCTCAGTGATTGGCTTAGGGATAGACGTGTGACCTAATTCAGACCAATGAGAACCTTTTGCGGGTTTGATGTCTCCAGGAGGGGTCCCCTGCCTGGAAATAGTCTGCCCGGGGAGAAAGTAGAAGGCAGAGTGAGGACGAGTGAGGTTCCCAGTGGTAAGCGTTTGGTACCTGGATCCCACCACACCTGAAGTTGGAAAATTACACTCTAGACTTTTATTCCTCTCTACCCATAGATTTTTTTCTCTAAAGCCAATTGGATCTGAATTTTCTGTTGCAGTCAGCACAGTTCTGATTCCAGTACCAGTTGGTCTTTATAGAAGATTTCCGCTGAGCCCTAACCTCACAGCACTTCGCCTTGTGCGGCTGGTGGACCTCGGATTTGAGCCTCTGTCTCTGTGACCCTGGAAACTGCATGGGTAGGCTACCATATTCTGCATATTGGCAGGGGTGAGAAGCACCTCTCCCCTACCCCCACCCCCAGCTTAGTGCCAAAAAAACAAAAACGAAAACAAAAAACTTAAGGGCTCAGCACATAGTAGATTTTTACAATACTGCTTATAAGACTGGCAGAGTGGCTCAGGTGGTAAAACGCCTGTCTAGCAAGCATGGGGCCCTGAGTTCAAAGCCCCAGTGCTGCCAAAAAAAAAAAATCCTGCTTATAATTCTTTGATAGCACCTATTAGACTGCATACTGAGTCCGTAAACCAACTGTAAAAAGATATCTTTGAGACCCTTGAGTGGCTAGTAGACAGTATTATAACACATCTTAAATTCGTCTGGTGGAATAATGGCCTTGTATGTCCATTTTTAAAATGTAGCTATTAAAGATGCAGATGCAAATATTTACAGCTGAAATCGCATAAGGTCTGGACTATACTGTAAAATACTACAGTGCAAAAAGAAATAGAGAGGGAGCTGGGTGCTGGTGACTCACGCCTGTAATCCCAGCTACTTGAGAGGCTGAGATCGGGAGGATCATGGTTCGAGACCAGCACAGGCAAATAGTTCACAATACCCCATCTCCAAAATAACCAGAGCCAAATGGACTGGAGGTGTGGCTCAAGTGGTAGAGCGCCTAGTTTGCAAGTGCAAAGCCTTGAGTTCAAACCTGTCTCCCACACACAAAAAAATTTTTTAAAAAGTAGAGAGGAAAACAGATCAAGTGGTCAAGAAAAAGCTGATAATAGTTGACCATTGGTGATAGGTATGTCAAGTTCATTATACTATTCTCTCAAAGTGTGTCTAAAAGTTCCACTAAAATGGTCTCTAAAATTATAGCCTCCATTTATAGAAAATTCTGGAAAGTGCATCCCAGCCGTGGCTGGGATGGGGTGCAGAGGAACTACAAAAGTTCCTGAGGAAATTTACAAAGGAGGATATGAATGATGGTTTCTCAAGTGTATCCAATGTCAAAATTCAACTTGTGCACTTGAACACCTGCTGTTACTTCTTCATCACTTATACCTCAATAAAGTCAAAAACAAATGATGTGTATATGCAGTAGGAGAAATAACAAAACCAGTCATGGCTCACAAATGTGTAGATACTAAGTGGATCGGGTTGGGTGTGGTGGTGCATGCCTGTAATCACAGGTACATGGGAGGCATAACTAGGAGGAAGTTGGAGGCCACGCTGGGCAAAAACACAAGACCCTCTCTGAAAAAAACAAACAAAGCAAAAAGGACTCAAGTGGTAGAGCACTGGAGGCCCTAAATTCAATCCCCAGTAGGACCAAAAAATATTAATTAATTTTTAAAATCCATTATCAGGTCTGGCAGAATGCTTACCTACCAAAGCCCTGGCTTCCGTTCCCAGCATTGCAAAAAAGAAAAAGAAATCTAGTATTGATGGCAAATAAACTTGTGCACACCTTTTAATACCTTAGGATATTGTTGCCAATGTTAGAACTTTCTACTGTGTTCTATTTCTGCAATCCCCTACAGAACAGTCCAGCCATGTATGGCTAGTGCCGCTAAGAGCTGAGCTTTTAATGCACTTAGTTAATTTCATCTTAAATTCTCAAACCCATAGCATGGCTTTCCAATGAAAAGCTGAACTACATATTTAGCTCTAACACTGAGCCCTACCATGATGGAATCGTCTCAACAATCCATTCTACATACGCTCAGAAAATTGTATAGGTGAGTGACATTACAATTGTAACAGTGAGGACTGGCTGAGCTGCGGAGGGACCCAGACAGTGCCCAGCCTTCCCACTTCTGGCCAGGGGCCTGGGCACCTCACTCACCTCTGGTGCGACCACTGCCTGCTACCTTCTCTTGAGTTCTTCATTGATAATGCCCACAATTTTCTTCAGCCTGACCTCGTCCACAAAGCCATCACCTTTCTGGGCATTTAAGGGAGAGAGCCCAGACATGAGTCAAGCTTTGACGGCTCACGCCTATAATCCCAGCTACTTGGGAGGCTGAGATTGGGAGGATCACAGTTCAAGGCCAGTCTGGGCAATTAGTTCCTAAGACTCCATCTTCAAAATAACCAGAGCAAATGGACTGGAGGTGTAGCTCAAGTGGTAGAGTGTCTGCTTTGCAAACACAAAACCAAATAATAGCAAAGATATGACTCCCACTCACCCCAGGACCCCAGCCCCACCTCCTCCCTGTCCAGGCCTCTTGCTCAGGTCACCTTTTTGGAATGGACCAGTTTCCCGTCCACGAACACTTCAAACTCCCCGGTAGCCTGGGCTGCTCTCTCGTCCTCCTGGGAAGGGAAGGGTGGGAGTGGGGGAGGCTAAGAGCTCCCCTCCAAGCCCTCAGGGGTCCAGGAGCCCTGACCACCTCCACTCCCCAGGCCAGCAGCACACTTACAAAGTGCAGAAGATTGGGAAAATGCTGCTCCAAGCTCTTTTTCAGTAGAATGTACTGAGGGGAGGAGATGGAGTTATGAGGTCATGGGGTCACAGGTCACATGGTCATAGGGTCACAAGGCAGGAAACAGGAAGTTCTTTCAGGCTTCATGCCCCATGCTTCCCGCCAAGTCCAAAGCCAAAAACTACTCACCCGAAGGCCATAGCTTCAGAGGCCACTGGAGGCCAAGGGCAGGAGGAGGGAGGCAGAGAGAAATAGAGGAGACACCGTCAGTATCTTCCCAGGCCCAAAGGGGTGCTATGAATGTCCAAGTCGGGTCAGGTGGGGGAGGGGGAAAGGAAAAAAATACCACAGTCCTGCTGACCCCCCCTCTAATCCTAGCTACTCAGAAGGCAGAGATCAGGTTCACAGCCTGGACAAAAAAAGCAACAACCTATTTCAAAAATACCCGGGCTGGGATGTAGCTCGGTGGTACAGCGCTTGCCTAGCATGTGTGAGGCCCTGGGTTCGATCCCAGCACCAAAAAAGAAAAGACAAAAAAAAAACCTCTCCTCAAAAATACCCAACACAAAAGGGCTGCAGGTGTGGCTCAAGCAGTGGAGCACCTGCCTAGTAAGTGTGAGGCCCTGAGTTCAAATCCCAGTACCACCAAAATCAAAAAACAAAACCACAGTCTTCCCCCATTGCCCACGAGGCACCACAATGATCTACCCCATCACCTCTCTACCCCCATCTGCTCCCACTCTTCTGCATCTCATTCACCCTGCTCCAACCACATGGCCCTCCTAACTGCCTCAGGGCCTTTGCACTGGTGTTCTCTGAAGACTCCTCCTCCCTCAGTATCCACATGGCTCCTTCTCTCTCCTCCTATATCACTTTCTCAGGGAACCCTTGGTGACCACCTCGGCTAAACCTGCAACACTCCCCAAGATGGCTTTTGTCCATAACACTGCCTGGTCATTTCTGTGAGTCATCACCTGCCCCTCCGCACCAACATGCCGGGGACAGAGAATCTTCATTTTGTTCACTGCTATGTCCCTGACATCAAACATGGTAGGTTTTAAGAAGTTATTGTCAAGGCAGGCACCGGTGGCTCACACATGTAATCCTAACTACTCAGGAGGCAGAGATCAGGAGAATCGTGGTATAAAGTCACTCCTAGGGAAACAGTTCTTGAGACCCAAACTCGAAAAAACCCATCACAATAAAAGGGCTGGTGGAGTGGCTCAAGGTGTAGGCCCTGAGTTCAAAACCCAGTACTGGAAGGAAGGAAGAATTGTTGAATGAATGAATTAGTGAATCCATGGAGTCAGAATTGGAAAGAAGAGATGGAGAGAAAGGAAGAGGGGGAGATGAGGACCCCAGCTAGGGAAGAGGAGAAAAAGACACACACCACAGGAAAGGAAGAGACAAGTGTGCTGGGGAGAGATGGGGCAGAGACAAAAGGGCGGTGGGAGAGAGAGAGAGATAGTGCTCCAGACCAGGAAACCCATGGGGATCAGAAGGGAGGACACCCAGGCCAGCCGCATTCACCCCTGCATCCCAGGGGGATCAAGGAAGGTCATTGCTATTATTGGTTTTGCTGTTGACCCAAAGACAGGCCGAAGTGGACAGGGACCCACCGCACACCTCTGCACTTAACCCCTCCCTCAGCTCACCTAGCAGCTCCTGGCTGAGAAGTGGCAGCTCTAGGGTGACCCCCTGAGAAAGGCCACCTGTGACCAACCAGGTCTAAAGTCCCCAACTGCTATTCTCCCACGGAGAGTGTGTTTCTACTCAGTACTGTACGCCAGCTTCGGGTCCCACCTTACAACCAGAGCAAAGCGAGTCACTCCGCTCTGCAGACCCTCCCCAATTCCAGCGTGACACATGGGGGGCAGGGCGCACAGAAGGAATGAGTGAAGAATGCGGCTCAGAGCTCAAAGGAATGAATGAATTCCAGTGAATGAAGGCGGCTCAGAGCCAGGCATCCAATGAATGAATTGATGAGACTGAATGAAAGATGCCGAAAGCCAGAAATCTAGGAATGAATGAAACACAGATCCAGTAATCCTATGAATGTATCGGAGTGAAAGAATGGATGAATTAGTGGATGGGAATGAGTGCGAGAGAATGAATGAAGATCAGAGTCAGGGGAGGGGTTTGACTCCAGCTCTCCAGTCCCAAAGAGAAGGGTTAGTGGAGGCAGGTTCCCCCCTAGATGCTGGAACCCGGGTTCTGCCTGACTCCCAGCCCTGCCCCCCCCCCACCCCGGGAGGAAGCGGGCCGCCCCTCACCAGTAGTTCACTTTGATCAAGATTCTTTGGGCCTCTTGGAAGTTCTCGCTGGTGGAGGCGAATGCGTTGGTAGAAAGGGAGGCGGCGGAAGGGACGGGTTTGGGGAGCTCCATCAGCTGGGTGGCCGACAGGTCCAGGTCCGCGATGGTGGTGGAGCCCACGGAGGGCGCCAGGGTGTAGGCGAGCGCGGGCAGGGGCCCCTCGGTGGGCCCAGCTAAGCTGAGGACCGAGGGCGCGTGCGCGGGACTCGGGGCGACATCCTGCTCTGAAGACCCCGTTGACTCTGGAGCAGGTTCTGAGCGCAGACCCAAAGGTTGGTCCGGGTTCGGAACAGATTCTGCCGCAGGGACCGCGGCCAGGATCGAAGCCGGAACCAAACGTGGTGCCGGGGCCGGGACTGGGAAACGGACGGGAGCCTGGGCAGGGACCGGGGTCGGAGTCCCGTCCAGAGTCGGATTCCGGACCGGGGTCGGATTCCGGATCGGGATCGGAGTCCTGACAGAAGTCGGGGTCCGGATCGCGATCGGAGTCCGGACAGGAGTCGGGGTCCGGACTGGAGTCGGGGTCTGGGCCGGGGTCGGAGTCCGGACGGGAGTTTGGGTCCGGACGGGGATCAAGGCTCGCACTGGGGTCGAGGTTCTGATCAGAGTCGTGGTCCGAACCGGGGTCGAAGCTCGGACTGGGGTCGAGGTTCGGATCAGAATCGGAGCCCGGACCCGGGTGGAAGGCCCGACTGGGGTCGAGGTTGGGATCAGAGTCGGGGTCTGAACTGGGGTCGAAGCCTGGACCGGGATTGAGTGCCGGACCGAGGAGGGAGCTGGGGTCCGCGCCTTGTGGTTCATGGCGAGCAGGTGCGACCGGGTAACCGCGGTACGCGTCCCGTCCCGCCCCGCTTCCATGGGCGGGGCGAGCGGCTCGCTCCCCAGGGTTCTAAAACACGAGGCGACCACAAGGGGGCACTGTTACACCGGGTTCCACCGCCGAGGTTCCACTGCGGGGGTCGGGGACGCGGTTCCACCTCCTGATGTACAGGAGAAGAAGCCGGGTCACTGGAGTAAGGAACACAGATCGGCCCGGCGCTTCCCACGGGTTCAGCATGTGCTCACTGAGTGCCTGCTGTGCCCACGCCCCTATGCTGGGTGACTCTAGGGACAGGGATTAGGCAAACCCTGGTTCCTGAACTCCTCAGGCTCCCTGTCCATGGAGGAGGACACATCTATTACCAAACAGCGACAGTCCAGAGTGGTCAGGCCCAGGGTGGGGGAGCACAGGCCCCGCAGGATCCCAGGACCTCTAGAAAAGACACCACTGGAAGATCCGAAGAGAAAGAGTGACAGCCAGCACAGAGAAGGCACACTTGCCTAGGACTAAGAGCTTTGCATTTGCCCATGGCTGGGAAGGGGCTGAGCCAAAAATCAAACTGCAGCTGGAGGACTCTGGTCCTAGGACTTAACCACTCTGATCACTCCGCCATTGAGCACCCCAAAGTGAGGATTTCACTGCCTATCTCCCCAGCTCCTAGAACAAGGCCTGACATGCAGGAGGCGCTCAATTAATGTTTGCAGAAGGAAGGAAAGAAGCAAGGAATAGGAATTAGCTAGGTGAGGGAGGAGCCTGCTGGAGACAGAGGGGAACACCTGGCTTGTTCTAAGAGCAAACAGTGCCTGGGCCAGGCCCTAGCACAGGCAGACAGCAGAATGGGTGGAGACCTGGAACCAGGGGCAGTGGCCAAGTAAAGCCACCCACACTCCATCCAGAGGCATCCGGGGTCATGGGAGGCTGCTTTTTTTGTCCAAAGACAGGTCTGGCCTTTGACCTGAGCGCCTGGATAGAATCTTAAGACACAGCATGCTCTTGGGAAGTGTATTTGAGGCCAGGCGCTGATGGCTCACATTTGTAATCCCAGCTACTCAGGAGGCAGAGATCAGGAGGATTGCAGTTCAAAGCCAACCTGGGCAAATAGTTCTCAAAAAAAGAAAAAAAAAAAAAACACGAAAAAGGGCTGGTGGAGTGGCTCAAAGTGTAGACCTTGAGTTCAAACCCCAGTACCGTGGGGAGAGTGGGGGAAGTCCTGTCTCTGAATTTTCTGGAAATTGGTGTAAGTTGAACCATAATAAGTTGCCAGTGTTCCATCTTTTTCAACACCCCCTGAAGAATAACAAGAACAGTCTACTGCCTGTGAGGAAGGAAAAGCTGTTACTGGTGTCTTAGTCCATTTTCTGTTGCTATAACAGAACACGTGAGACTGGGTAATTTGTAAAGGAAATCGTTTCTTTTGGCTCAGGCTTCTGGAGACTGGGAAATCGGAAGCGTGTGCCAGCATTTACACAGTTTCTGGTGAGGGCCCTTATGCTACATCACAACGTGGTGGAGGGCAGGAGACACAGGTACATTCCAAAGAGGAACGGGACAAAGGGCAGACCAGCCATGGAACACACCCTCCACCAATAACTCCCATTATGAAGTGGTGCTTCCTTCAGCCAATCACTTTTTTGTTTTTGTTTTTGTTTTGCGGTATTGGGGTTTGAACTCAGGGGCCTACACCTTGAGCCACTTCACCAGCCCCTTTTTGTGTGTGTGTGATGGGTTTTTTCGAGATAGGGTCTGGAGAACTATTTGCCCAGGCTGGCTTTGAACCTCGGTCCTCCTGGTCTCTGCCTCCTGAGTGCCAGGATTACAGGCGTGAGCCACTGGCACCCAGCTAGCCAATTGCCTCTCAGAAGGTCCCTGCACTTCTCAGTACATAACATTAGAAGTTAAAATTTAACATGAGTTTTGGGGGAGACAAGCTTATCCAAATTATAGCATCCTGCGATGTTGAGGGGACTTTCTGAGATTTTGCAAATCAGTTATGGGGCAGAGGGTTGGGGGGATGTTAAATAGGACAAAGGTGTTCATTGTCAGAAAGCACTCAGTCTCCCCTAGGATCTGGCTGAAGAAATACTGAGGAAGCCAACCGTGGGTGGAAGGGACAGCCAGCTATGTCCTATGACCAGGCAGCCTCTCTTCTGGGCACATACTAAGGACACACATGACTCCTCAAAATATTCCCTATCCCCCTGCCTGACGATTGCACTTGCTGTTCTGTGGGCTCACTGCTTAGCCACCTGACTTGTTTTGGCTGATGAAATTCGAGCAAGTCGGGGTTTTTCGTGTGTGTGTTTTTTTATTCATATGTGCATACAATGTTTGGGTCATTTCTCCCCCTTCCCCCCACCCTCTCCTTTTCTATTCCCTCTCCACCCCCCGCCAACCCCTGGCTACCCGACAGAAACTATTTTGCCCTTATCTCTGGTTTTGTTGAATAGAGAGTATAAGCAATAGTAGGAAGGAACAAGGGGTTTTGCTGGTTGAGATAAGGATAGCTATACAGGGCATTGACTCACATTGATTTCCTGTGCG